CAGGGGCGTACCCAGGAATTTTCTGAGAGGGGTGCCCGACTCATTATGGGGCTAGATACTAGCAGAAAAATTAATTTTTGTTTCCCGAAGCAATCTTTTACCCGTACCCCCCTCCAGGCGTTTTTTGGCTGAGGGGGGTGCCCGGGCACCTGAGGGCACCCCCCCTGGGTACGCCCCTGGGTAGACAGAGGTTGTCAAGAGCTAAAATGATATCAAAATATATATGAAAATATGGCCGCTCGTAAAACAATGGGAAAGTTCGAATGAGGAGTATGCTAGATTAGGGTGTGGGTGTGGATGTGCCGGTGGCGATGTAAGGGTATTGGAGGATAAGACTCATACCTATCCCATACTTGCACCACACATCCACCTTAAGTGGTAGTTTAATCGTTGTTATTACCGAATTAGATGGCATCTGTCACCTGATTTTTATTATTCTTATTGGAAGAGTACAGCTATTTCCGTTTTATGTTAATGAAGTCACGTTGAAAAAAATGATCTAGCTTAGTTCAAGTGACTTGCGCTAGAACTATTTTTGTGAAAGAAATTCAGATTAAAGAAAAAAGGATTCAGATACAAACCCTTTGAGCCGCTGGAATCATTTTTTATTTCTCCTGGTTCTGTAAGTTATCAAGAACTTTTTGATGGTTTCTTAATAAACGAATGAAACTTGAAAAAGTTCAGCATCTTCGCTAACATCCTAAATTATTCCTTATGAAACCTTTTTTTGAACAGAGCACCAACACCCATGCTCATCACTCGTACCCACACCACCTAGAGCCACAGCCACGCCCATTTTCGAATTTGTTCGTCGTCAAGAAAGAGAAGCGAACGAAGAAGATTATTGGCAAATGACTTTTAGTAAATAAATGATAAATTAGATGAAAACAAGCCACAACTATTCCAATCGAGAGAAAGTTGAAACAACGAAAACTATGATAAAAAATGAACAGTCGAATGTAATCCAACCAATCTAAGTGTCAATATAGGCAACATCTCATCCTACGAAGACGATAGTTTAATTAACTCGTCATATTCACCCTGTTTATTGATGGTGGCACTTTTAGTCTTCAGCTGTTATACCAATAATCGACTGAACTGTTTCCTTGCTTAAGAACATAAACAGTTCCCGTTTCAGTAACTATCACAAAAAGTAAATAACCGATGAAATATAGTCACTCAAATGTCACGATGCAATCCATGATAAGATCGTGAGTGTAAATGTTACAAATATTGGTGGAGTTCTAGGTTTTCTATGCAAAAAAATATAATTCTATTGTGAGTCCATTTTCCCTTATGCGTTTATCTCAATTCACTAGAGTACGGCTAAGATTATAGGCAATTTGTGACTTTTTGGTTTTATCTGTCAGATTTCACTATTTCTTGCATTAGTAGATATCTCGAAAGTGTGGGTTAGATACTGTCAGCATTATTCATGCTATACTCGTCGAGTTCGATATAACTAATACTATTGAGATTTTTCTTGACACTACTGCCAATTTCAAAAAAATAGGCGGGTGGGTATTCTTTGAATAACTTTTGATAGGAACAAGATAGAAAGCTGCGATTTTCACCGTTGGAAAGAGGCAATGAAAATACATCGATTTATGTATTTCAGATTTTTCTGACAAGTATTTTTAAGGTTTTCTCACGAGTTTTTTTAGAAAATCAACGATTTTAGACGTGGAAAAAAATTGATTTTTTATTAAAGACTAAGAAAAAAAGAGATTTTTTCGCTAAAAATCGACCGAAAACACACAGTAACATGTTCAAAACGCATGATTAGCTAAAGATAATAGTGTCGGGTTTATATAGCAAGTCCATAATATTCACATGATGTAACGTTTTGTCTTTTGAAAACTTGCCGAGGAGCCCTTAAAATACTTGTCAGAAACAATCTGAAATATAAAAATCGATGCAATTTCATCGCCTCTTTCCAACGGTGAAAACCGCAGCTCTCTATCTTGTTTCTATCAAAAGTTATTCAAAGAATACCTACCCGCCTTTTTTTTTAAATGGGCAGTAGTAATTTTGAATGTGGTGAATGGAATAATGAGGATTTCGTTCTCATTTGGGTACGTGGATATGGTGTGTAAATCGATGGCTTGACATGGATTTCGAATGTGATATGTACATATGACTTGATGATTCGACTTCAGGTCGAGTGAGATATTTATTAGAAAATTCTGCTCAACGACTCGATCAGTTGATGAAGACAAAAACGTTCGCGTTAGGATAACTTTACCTTCTTCATACTGATCTAAATATGAGTCTTTCGCATTCATACCACAGTAGGTTGTCCCAATGTAAGGACGATACTTTTGTAGTTGTGGATGATGACTGAGAATGGCAACGAAAATGTATTGACCAAAGCTTTTTGGTGGATCATTACCACAATAAACTGTGGTGCTCATTGCGAAGCTGATCTCGAACCGAAAATCGGATCTACCATTGACTAAATCTTCATTTAGTTTGATATCGAAACGTGTCTTTTCCGTATAGACACGAACAAGCGGTGTTGAATCATTGTTCTTTATGGCTTGCTTCATATAGTCTTTGATTAAAAGTTTCTGATCATTTTGATCAAAGCCAAAATCAATTTTGTCAATATAGCCAGTATCAATATCTTCTACCAACCGAGAGAACGATACTTTAGTTAGCCATCGCTTCATATGAGTATGATTCTCATAAGCAATTCAATAGGCATTTTTATATGTATCGAACTATTCAATTAATTCTTCGGCATAGTCATCATATTCATTGATGGTATCGTTCTGGCCAATCGTCGACATTTTATCAAACAAAAACTTCAAGTAAGCAGGAGCTTCATCGTTAGCAATGCAACTCCATTGAGTTTTGATCGATTGATTAATATTTTTATGTGCCAATAAAAGTTCTGATATATCCGCATATCCATATGATGCGATAACATCCAAAGCTTTACGCTTATTAGGACCTTGCTCACTCAATTCATCATCGGGCAAAGTTTGTAGAAGTTCACGTACACGACTTATATCATTATTCTTACAAGTCACATATAATGAATTAATTGATGACATCGTTGTCTGGATTTTTTAAAGAGAAATATTTTGAACAATTTTTCGTATGGTATTTGTATACTGCTGTCATTTAATTAAAGGAGACTTAATCGATTTGTCCCTTTATATTGTGAAAAAGCAGAATGGGACTGGAGAATTTTCACATCGTGGGCACTTAAGAAAATTCCGTATTGATAGACACTTGAATGAGTACAATGAAGAAAGTTGGAAGAATTGACACCATCGGTTTGAATGGAAGAAAAGAACATCGACATTTTAATCGTGTAAAGCAATCAGAAGTATGAATCATCTCTTATACATGCGGCATGCTTTTGTCAAAAATAGAAGAAAAAAAAGTAAAAGACACCATTTAACTATGCTCACGAAGGAACAATTGAATCACTTTCACATTTTTCAATCGGATGTGGGCGTGGGTATCCCTGTAACACTCTGATAAAAGCGATTGCTCAGACTTACCTAAAATAACTCAGCTGTTATTTGAGCCACTTTAGATTATAATGAAGTATTTGGTTTCTACAGTCTATTTTTTCTCAAAATAAATGAACTGTATACCTTTGATAGAGTAAGATTGCTGATGGTCAGAAACCAATCTTTTGTGGATTTTTTCGTCCAAGCTACGAATATGATTAATGTAACAGCACGAGCAACATTTACTGCAAAATTCAATACACTTTACAAGATATGAGCTCGAACGGTTTCTTCTCAATTAAACAAACTGAACTCTGAATCTTTTCAATATTGCGAACGAGTCTGTAAAAATGCTCTATGGACGTGGGCATAACATACTTGCTTGCGATAACACACTATCAATTAATCAACAAGTCGATATCGAAGGATATGGGAAATATCAAGGAAAGATTAAATACCAAAGATGCAATGAAACATAATTGCCGTTCGAAACTTTGCTGTATCTTCAAATCAATTGCGCAGTTCACAAAGGAGAATTGAACGGAATGAATTTGAAAAGCAAAAATTCATTAGAAAAAAAAAAGCTAGATATCAGAATATCTGGCTACCATGCAATTGATATGTGATGGAAGAATAAAGAAATCGATTCTATCAAATGTCGTGATTTATTGAATAACTGATCATTCTTTTTTTTCGAATTCTTATGCATCTATGCACCAGAGCTCCGCGTAGGATGGAATAATCCAATGTCATACCATCAGCTCATGCGATTAAATGACAAATATTTGAAGATGGGTATGAGCGGTGTTAAGATGAATTCACATCCATATTCCACAAACACAGACACATGCACACTTATACCCTCGACGTGAGGAGTCAAAAGACATAATCAGAAATTGAAGTTTATAAATGAATACTGAAGAAAAACGCATTTTATGCTCATAGCAATTCAAATCCATTAAAAATCACATAATCTATCGAAATTAACTAACAAAATAAGAAAGTTGAATTAAAATCAGATTACTTTGTTGTGTTTTCTTTACCATCAGTTGTACTGCATATCATTTGCTATATGCATGTAAATATGTTACCATAGGAACTAACTGCGGACAAAGTCGATAAAAGTACAGAATCTGATGTACATCACCTTATCGAAGTTGATATTAGGAAGTTTTACCCATTAAACATAATTGATAATTGAAATTTATCACTCACATATCATACTAATTCATTTGGAATGGAATAGATCAAGGTGCTGTTTGTAAAGAAATACATATCTTATAGAAAAACAAAATACTTCTATGTTGATCTAGTTACTCACGCAGTTGAATAAGTTGTTGTTTTTTCTTCTGTTATGATAGCACGTCGAAGGGTCATAAGAAAAAAACAGTCTTCTTAGACGAGAAAGATTGAGAGGAAGAAAAAGAAAATGCAATACACAGACATTTTTTTTTGAGTGTAGTCATTTTGTCAACTGAATCATTCTTATTCAACTCTCTCAGAAGGTAAGAAACACGCTCTAAAACGTTTCTTCACACACATGCACGGACAAAATATGGAATTCACTATTCATAGTTTGTCTGTTTCGATAATTGTAAACGAGCGATGTAATATGAATCAGTATAGTTTTTTGTTCAGTATCAGTCAAAGAGAAAATATGAACTTAATAAAAAACATGATCAAGGAAAAAACAACTTATGATTAGCTTTTTTAAAAAATAATTCAATGTATTTTCACTACTAACTCCATTCAAATTTATACAAACATTTGATTAGAATATTTTTCTAAGATGTACTTGTGACTACAAGATATATTTTTTTTTATTGAATGGCATTGAGTGTATTTAGAGTTATGTTAATAATAATAACATTTTCTGTGCCTGAGTCTTGAGCTATTTAGGAAAAAATAGCAGGTACTTAACTATCTTTCAATCTAAATCCATTATTGAAGTGTATGATTGTACTATAGCACAATCATGAATATTATTTATTTAGTATAAGTAAGAACAGCAAGTCTTGCTTCAAGTGACTGCTCTGAGTACTGTATAACTTTCTAATACAGGAATTAAAAAGCTTTAGATCATCCTTGATCCATTGTCTTAAATCATAACGATCTAGTAGTTCTTCAAAATTAATCATCTTCTCGTCTGTATTACACGATTTATTTACTAACAAGAGAAAAAATATCAATGACGAACATGTATCTTCTCGATCTTTCGACCGAAATATTCCATCGCATTTTTGATTATCTCGATACGCCAACTATTTTTCGTTTACTTCGATGTGCTTGCAGTCGACTCCACGCAATTGTTAATACCTATAATCGCTTTGAACTCAAGTTCACATCTATTGAAAATGACCATATTAAATTTATCTCTGATACTATTGGTATTGAAAACATAACTTCTCTGATCTTTTCTGTTGGGAACAGCGAGCGATTGAATAATATCGATTTGGTTCTATCAATTTTTACTACTCGACAATCTACTCGGCTTCGTTCGTTGACTCTTCTTGAGATTTCTAATAGTGCACTAGATCGATTATTGCCACATATCAATGTTCTCTCTTTGGTATCACTTTCAATTCAGTTATGTAGAACATATGGTACTTCAACATATTCTCCTGTTTCAATAGCAATAATTCAATCCAATCTTCAAAAACTTCATTTAATAGGTTTCAATAGTATAACGAAGACTTTATCATGGCCAGCTCACTGTATATTACAGCATCTAACAGTAGAATACTGCACCTTTCAAGAATATCAATTTGTTCTTGAACACTGTCCCCTTTTACGAACATTAATAATGCAGCAGTGCACAATGTACGATACTAATAGTATGACTGTGGCATCGTCTATCCATCAATCCTATCCACAATTGACTTCACTAACACTGAGCAACTCTTATTTATCTTTCAAAGAACTTGATGTCCTGTTGTCTTTGACTCCATCACTGATTCATTTGAAACTAGTCAGCTCGTTAGGAAACTTTGACTCCTTATGTGATGGTTTTCAATGGGAGGAGCTCATCCAAAAAAAATTACAACTCTTGAATAACTTCAACTTCTGTTTTCGACAAAAGCTTGATTACTATTCTAAATATCATAGCCTTCATTCGCTTATAAATCAATATCGAACACCCTTTTGGCTGGAGAACAAACATTGGTATGTCACGTGTGATTGTGTAATATGTTCATCATCAGCATCCCAAATAATGGTCTATACAACACCAGTCCAAATTAGTAGTATTCAAATAATAATCAGATGCCAAGCATTATCAATTGATGATATTTGTTATTTTACTAAGTATCAATCAAATGAAAAAGATCAAATCAATGAAGAAGAAGTATGTATGAAAGGCTATCCATTTAACAGTTATCAACGATCTTTTTTTTTTGAATATAAAACACAAAATAAAAACCGTTCCTAGCTTAGAATTTCACAAGAATTTTCTATTATGGGAGGTTTTATTGTGTTATTTCAATCTGATTACATAACATCAGTTAAGTGGATCTATCCTTTAAAAGTCGATTAATAATGAGAAGAAATGTGCTGTCAATTTTTGACGGGATATAAAGTAACTTCCGTACTAATCAATAATGATCAGAATATGCAATAATTGTCATTTGTATATAGATGTATTAGTATTATACAGTCTCTTCTACATCATCCAGACGAAATGTCTCTCTCATGCAAATTGTTTTCATCTTAAAAAACTGACTTGTAATTGCTTCATTTTCAGAAGAACTGTTTAATTCACTATTCGGAAAGTGATGCTCGGCTTTAAAAATATTCTCTCCATGTGTCATATCTATTTTGATTTATTCAAATATATAGGTATTCATCGAACTCAATCTTGAAAACAATAATAAGCGTGCATACAATATACCATATCTGGCATGTGCATTAAAACATAATACAGTAATAACGTTCATTTTATCTTTTTATTGATGCCTTATTCACTTTGATTTTTAATACAGACGCTTCTTACACTGAATCTAAATCAAAATAGTATCAGACACGAAGAAATATCTCATTTGGCCTCTCTACTACAAAATAATATAGTGATTATGATTGCTCTTTGTCTTGTTCCTATTAACTTTTACTTTTATACGTAGCAACTAAGTACGCTGAATTTGGAAAAAAATCAAATTGGACAACAAGGGACAAAATATTTGGCTGATGCGCTAAGAGACAACACGGTGATTCTCATTATTTTCTTATCTTATTCATATTTCGTATTCAATTTTTTTTCTCCACAGATTCTCACTACATTAAGTATAGGTGGAAATCATATTGGATACGAAGGGGTACAACATCTAGTTGACATATTAGAAAACAACAAAGTGATTTCTTGCTTATAATATCTGTTCCTTATTCTATGTTGACTGTTTTTTTTTAGACAATTACTAGGCTTAATATCGGTGGAAATGATATTGGACCGAACGGAATACAGAATCTAGCAAATGCATTAGCAAAAAATACGGTGAGTCTTGTTCTCTACAAATATCACCTATATTTGTCTTGCTATATTCTTAGACACTGACAACTCTCGATCTTCAGGATAATCATATTGGAGATGAAGAAATGCAATATTTATGTGACGCATTACGAAAGACTGTAGTAAACTTTTTTTTTCTACTCATCTCTTCCACATATTATCTTGATAATTTTCATATGCAGACATTGACTACACTCGATCTTAGTAGTAATCTAATTGGAGCGTCGGGAGTACAATATCTTGCTGATGTTCTTGACAACAATTCAGTACGTATCATTCATTCTTTGCATATCAGTAATATGTATTAGTAATTTTTCATGCAGACACTGATTACACTCAGTTTGAGAGATAACGAAATAAGAAGCAGAGGAGTTGAATATTTGGCATATGCATTACAAACAAATATGGTTAGTTTTTTTTCTTTATTTCTCTTCAATAGCTGCCTTTATTTGTTCACGTAGACACTTACTACACTCAATCTACGATTTAATCACATTGATGACAATGGAGCCGAACATTTGGCAAATGTTTTAAAAACTAACAAAGTATTTCTTTTTCTTTTACTCTCTTCCTAATCTCTCTTATATGGAATCCATTCGTTCAGACACTGACCACTCTCGATCTTTGGAACAATCGAGTTACGGGTGCTGGAGCATTATGTTTGGCTGATGCATTACGAGAAAACATAGTAACTTTTTCACTTGATAGTTTTGGTAGTCTATTTGTAATTCTTGTTTTTTTTACTTAGACAGTTACTAAACTCGACCTCGGACGCAATCAAATCGGAATGATGGGAGCAAAACATCTAGCTAACATGTTACAAACGAACTCGGTACGAATAATCAAGGTTATATATATATGTCACATCCATCTACATATTTTGTTTCACGGTCAGACACTGATAATGCTCAATCTATGGGACAATCGAATTAAAGACAAAGGTGCTGAATATTTGGCTTCTGCATTAGAAACTAATATGGTTGTTTTCATTTGATCTAGTTTGTATTTATCTTTGTTTTTTTAATTTTTTATAGGCACTCACTATATTAGATATTGGATCGAATTATATCGGAGAAAATGGTGCAGAACACTTGATTCATGGTTTACAAATGAATAAGGTTAGTCTGTGGTATTCGTCGTATCTTTATTTTTATGCTTCATTCTATAGACACTCATCACACTTAATCTTCAAAATAATTCTATAAATAAAAATTTGATTCAACATATCAATGAATTAATCGATAAAAATACAGTATCTAATAAAGAAAAAACGTAATGAGACGTTTCACACAGAAGAAAGTTATCATATTGAGTGTACTTGGCGTGAGGTTGGTGTGGCTAACATGAAGAACTACGCACTCACACTTTATAATGAAATTTCAATAGAATTTTGTGAAATATCATTTTATATTTTTCAATATTATTGATCCCTTTTTTGCAAATAAACCATATTGTAGTCATCTATTGTAGTTTTTCGTTTTTGTACTAATATTTTGGAAGTCCTTGGTAGATAATTTTTAGACGAAATCTTCAGTTGAAAATATATGAAGGAATTGATAAAAGTTTGAAAAGTTTAGGCAATATTGAATCGCTTGACAATCAAATTCCTTATTTGGATCCACTGTGGCAATTCTGTTCATTCAGTTTGCACACCTATCAACAAGAGTATAATTTCTATCGTCAGCCTGAGAATATAATGAAACTTTATTTTTTTTTGTTGTCAAGCATACGCACAAATTCTGTTTGCATTCACTTCTATTACTTTGTATCCATGATCTCTCGGCACTATAAAAACTTTATCGTAGATAAAAGAGGCATCAATGATGGTTTGAATTCTATTCTCTTTATCTTGAATATAACAAAAGATATGTGAGTACTATTAACAGTATTTTTAAGTATTACAAGGTTACAAATAACGTTGCGTTCTTCTTCATTCGTGAATAATATTTTTACACTGTGAATACAGACTAAAAAGTAAATTGAATCTAAATATGGAAGAATTTGTTTTTGACATCGAGCACAAATCCATGTCATCTTTTTTTTTATAACAACCGTGTCGCATTCTGATCGTAGTTGAATACATGACCATTAACTCTAAACATATACATACATGCAAATCATTCATTGCCCGAGAAATGTTATTCAATACCAGTATAAATCATGTTTTCTAATTTCGTTATAAACAAAAAACATATCAAGATGTTTTCTTAGAAATCAATTTGTAATGTAAGATCTGCATATATGTTTGCTAGAAATTCTCAACTTTTGGAGATTACTTTCATAAGGTAAGAAGACAAAGGCAAGCATATGGATATCCCATGAAAGACGAGAAATTCAAAAGAAAACCAGAGTGTAGATGCAGATACTAAAGAAAAAAGTATGAGCTACTTTCCTTCTTCGAGAAAATTCTCCTGGACCGTCATAGATCGAAAAAAAATTTGCAAAGCAAAAATATTTCTTTATTATGATTATTTTCATTTAGAAAATTCGGTTGGCAGTAGAAATGTCGAAAGGAAAAATGTCGAAAGGAAAAATATCGAAAGAAAAAATGTCGAAAGAACGAAGGGGAAAAATGTCGAAAGAACGAAGGGGAAAAATGTCGAAAGGAAAAATGTCGAAGAGGAAAAATGTCGAAAGGGAAAAATGTCGAAAAAATATACATTAAGAAAATGGCTCATTATTCTTGTTAGAAAATCTTGAAATAGAAGAGACGTTCTTTATTTTTTATTCTAACACTAAAATATGTTAATAGAAAAAAAATGTATGAATTTTAGAAGAGCAACCATTGTATGTATACTTCCAATATTTAGTTGTAGTTGTTGTTTTGTTTAGTTTGAAAGTATATTCATTTGCTACCAATAAATTTTTTTCTTTTTGTGATTTAATAAATGAAATGCTCAATTTTGGTTGAGTTCCGTCATTTGAAAATACAGTATTTGTTGCCATACTATTATCACTTTAGTTATTTATTTACTTCGTATATAATTGTTTATTTAATCTCTATCACTTATTAGTCATCTTTACTACCAGTGGTGAAAAATCTCGACTAGTAGAATTATAAGAAAAGAAAACATGCATTGTTCGAATTTAGAGTTCTCATTTATGGGAGACATCGTTGCTTCTTTTATTTTTCATTTTTACATCTTTTTGTGTTAGAATTCATTTTTCGACATTTTCCCCTTTCGATATTTTTTCTTTCGACATTTTTCCGTTTCGACATTTTTCCTTTCGACATTTTTCCCTTTCGACATTTTTCCCTTTCGACATTTTTCTTTCGACATTTTTACCCTATTTTTTTTTCTTTCGACATTTTTCCTTTCGACATTTCTACTGCACACCGAAAATTCCTACTGAGGTATCTGAAGACGAAACTTGACTCTAGGACATATTTGTTTTGCGGGTAAAATGAGCCTCGATTCAGATTCATAAAAAACTGAACCATCATCAATTACATATGAAACTACTGAAGAACTTCTTGGACTTACTGGTAAACAACTACAGTGTCTAAGTGAAGTGAGAGAAGTTTGGACACTAGAAATTTTACGAGAAGAACTCTTGGATGCTGAAGAACAATTATCAAAATTGATTAACATTGCCACTTCATTCATTCGTGTTGGATACTATGTTAGCTTTTCAATAGACATTTCTTGCAGTCAAGTACCTGAAAGATTTTGCACACATTTACTTGGTGGAAGTAATGGATATGAGGCTGTTGACACATATGAAAAATTCTTCAATCAAAAACCAATAAAATTTTGTAATTTCGATGATTGTTTGGAAATATTTCGCAAAGAAGCACAGATTTCTGAAAATTGACTATGAAGAATGAAGTCTTAAAGCAAGTGACATGAAACTGATTTTGAATAAAGTTTTTTTTTCCATATTTTTCTTTTTACTAATTTATACTCAACACTCTTTTTGAAAGAGATGGGTATATGTGCATTTAAACAAAAACTACTTTAGAAGTTTTCGTATTTGAATTTTTTTGGTATTCGATTATTGGTTTTGGTGTAGTTTGCGGTGTTAGTTTTGAAATCTGAAGAGAAAAAGTAATTTTCAAAAGTATAAATTCAGAATACTTTTCTGCAAACTTGATTATGTATATTTACTTGTTTTTTTTTCAACTTTTAATATCACACCCAATATCGATCAACAGTAGAAGTTTCTTTAGTAATTTCAAGTTTGCTATGATTGAATTCTTTTTTCTAGGATAGTTCATAACTTCAAATTAAATACGACCAAGAAAATAGTTCTTTTTTAAACAAACTCTGACTGATATAGTCGTTAGCTAGGAAAAAACATAAAACTTTCGGTGGTATGAAATATAGAAGTACCTTTGTTAAACTATAAAGAATAATAATTATTTTTTTGTCAATGAATCATTCATTAGTTATTGCTGGGTAGTCGAAAATATGTTCTTAGTAAAGTAGCTTAAGAGAGCTTCCAGGAGCCCATAAAATGTCATTCCGATTTACGACGCACTTGATAAAAATATTTTTACATTTTTTTTGCTCATTCGAGACATTAATGTCTAAAACCACAGATCTCAAAATTTTAGGCTCTAATATCCTCCTTTTGAAAAGTTGGCCAATATCGACTTTTAGTACTCGGATACCTTTTCAGGAAATTGCAAAAAAACAAAATATCCTGTAAAAGATGTGCTAACTTGCGTTTCCACAGATCATTGGAACTTTTCATGTTATGTATCAAAAGATTGAGAATTAAAAACTAATCAAAATAATCTGTATCGATTTAATATAAGGTCAAGAAACTCAAGTTTCATAAAGTCACATGAGTCAAAAGAGATTCTTTTGATTAGTTCAAATAGATCAAGTACTTCCTGTGGTGCTTCAAGGTCAAATGTATCCAACCTGAATTTCATATATGTTGTGCAATTCTTTTTCTCTACAAAATGGATAAAAAGGGTGTGGGTGTGGGTGGGTGTGGATGTAGATGTGGCGTGTAGGTGTGGGGTGTGGCTGTGGGTGTGGGTGTGGGTTTTGTCTTATGTTTCTGAATACCACGTACCCACACCCTTCTCAAATAGGTAGAAGATTTCATCGATTCGACCAGTAATGAACCGTTAAGTTCAGTACCTGTTCAATTTATTGTGAAAGTTATTGCTTCACCATCATCTCTTCTTCGACCTGAGCTAATCATTCTTGCAGAATCATGCACACCAATTAAAGCCAATCATACATTTAGATCAGCATTGTTAGCGATTAACAATTGTGAACCAACCGTCACTATTACTGATATTTCTACACTGGCTTTTTCTGGTATGGTCCAAACTTCTGTTATAATGCTTAGTTCTAGTGTTTACTATAAAAATTTAATATGGACACGAACGATAAATCAACTTGGCTATCAAGTAATGTGTGCAATGGCTATCAACAGGTACATATTCATCTGTTTAACAAATTACAAATTATCGCATTTCATTTCAGTCAAAGTTCACAGTCTTCCCAACACTGTTTCACATTCTATATGACGGAAAATGGTGACAATACATGTCCTGGCGTTACATACAATACAATAACGACCACAGAAACAACATCAACAAAGATGGTGGAAAAATCAACAACAGGTTTGTAATGTTTTTTGTTGTAATCATTAATGCTAAGAATTTTTTCTTCAATGTTCAGAAAATGTTAATCTTTGGCCATTGATTGGAAGTCTTATCGGTTTATTTTTTATAGCTGCTCTTATCATTAACTATTGTTTTGTGCGGTGTTATAAAAAGTATGTACGAATTAAATAATAAAGCTATGACTTTTTCAATTCTTTTATAGACATGCTACTCGTAGATTTCGCCATAAACTGTACAACTCCAACACAACTATCGTGACAAATACTACTGAGTTATGTATGGAGCCTCTTCCATCTGTAGAATCTTCGTCTAAAATTTCTTCTGTTACACCAGAAGTCATTTCTCGTCAGCATTCGCTAAGTAGAAGTACAAAAACATTGGCCACTCCTCAAAAATCAACGTGTAATATTAACGATAATGATTTCAACATGACACTTTCAAAGACAAAAAATTCTTCGCCTAACATAGACAAGGATACTGGACGAAAGTTGATAACTAGTATGCCCGTTCCAAAAGATGAAACAATCGAAACAATGCCGGCAGCATTAAATCTAAATGTACACTCGCCGAACTTATTGTCTAAACAAGAAAAGACGAAAAAAGATCTACCCATAGTTGATTTGCATCAGAAAAGTGTTCAAACCTCTTTAATGAATAAGAAAACTAAACGAAGATCAAGTAGTTTC